ACTGCGCATGCGGATTTTGCGATTTTAAAATTTGGTGCGGGTTTCCGATGAGAGCACGTCAATTACAAGGTGATTCACATTCTCTGCTTGGACTGCGCATGCGGATTTTGCGATTTTAAAATTTGGTGCGGGTTTCCGATGAGAGCACGTCAATTACAAGGTGATTCACATTCTCTGCTTGGACTGCGCATGCGGATTTTGCGATTTTAAAATTTGGTGCGGGTTTCCGATGAGAGCACGTCAATTACAAGGTGATTCACATTCTCTGCTTGGACTGCGCATGCGGATTTTGCGATTTTAAAATTTGGTGCGGGTTTCCGATGAGAGCACGTCAATTACAAGGTGATTCACATGCTCTGATTGGACTGCGCATGCGGATTTTGCGATTTTAAAATTTGGTGCGGGTTTCCGATGAGAGCACGTCAATTACAAGGTGATTCACGTACTCTGCTTGGACTGCGCATGCGGATTTTGCGATCTTAAAAGTTGGTGCGGGTTTCCGATGAATGCCGATGTTTCTTCGGGCACATAACTTTTTAGAAAATTGCCTCAAAAAGTTACTTTACGATGGAAAAATCGCGTTCTAACGTAGCGGAATGTATTCGCGACGCCCAGAAGGGGCCCCAGCTCGATTCGCGTGAGCACACGCGGCACGGTTTCGGAGGAGATACGGAAAACGACACTTCGGCTCTTTCTACTATTATATAGTAGATAGGTGGTGTTTGAATTCCCACACTAACTATCGTATAGTTGGGGTTGGAATTTCCGCTCGAACTATCATATAGTTGGTGTTAGAATTCCCGCACTGTCTATGACGTAGTTATGACGTTATTATGACGTAATTATGATGTTATTATGACGTATTTATGGTGTTATTATGAAGTAGTTATGATGTTAGCATCACAGCCGTGTAATACCGTAATGATGACGTCACGCATGCGCATGCGCATTTACCACTCCGACCCCGTCGACGCATTTTGCAGGCCTACCCTTCAGCAGACCGCTATGACGTCGGCTCTCGTCGCCCCGCGTCTGTCGGCAGAAGTCTGTCGATGCCGGCGACGACGACGTTCGTCGCAAAACAAGATGGCCGCCATGGTCAACGTCACGCCGACGACGGACACCATTCGATCGCCGACGCCGAGCTGGAGGTGATGGCGCCTATGTGGCGCCACCTGCCGTTTTCCGGCTACTCGTGGGGTCACTCCGGGTCGCCGTCGTCGCCGTCGTCGGCAGCGCAGCGGCGACGCGTCGTCGATAAGAACGGCGTCGTCAACGTGACGGCGTGTCGCGTCGAGCGGCGCGGCAGTCGCTTTATGGCCGACTTCTTCACGACGCTCCTTGACGTCAGGTGGCGCTGGACTATCGCCGTCTTCGTCGCCGGCTTTCTGCTCAGCTGGCTCTTCTTCGCCGGGATCTGGTACGCGATCTCTTACGCCCACGGCGACTTCTCCTCCTCCTCCTCCTCTTCTTCCGCCGACGACGACGGGGACGGGAGCGCCGCCTGGCGGCCGTGCCTCGTCGAGCAGACGTCGTTCGCGTCGTCGTTCCTCTTCTCGCTCGAGACGCAGCACACGATCGGCTACGGCTCGAGATCGATCACCGAGGAGTGCCCCGAGGCGATCTTCACGCTCGTCGTGCAGTCGATCGTCGGCGTGCTCATCCAGTGCTTCGTCGTCGGCATGGTGTTCGCGAAGATCTCGCGACCGAACAAGCGCGCGCAGACGATCGTCTTCAGCAAGCTGGCCGTCGTCTGCGCGCGCGACGGCGCCCTCTGTCTGCAGTTTCGCGTCGGCGACATGCGTCGCTCGCAGATCATCAGCGCTCACGTGCGCGCGCTGCTCTATCGGACGGTGACGACGCGAGAGGGAGACGTCCTGCCGCTGCATCGCTTCGACCTGGACGTCGGCGTCGACGACGGAGGCAGCGGCATCTTCATGATGTGGCCCGTCGTCGTGACGCACCGCATCGACGTGGCGTCACCGTTCTACGCGTGGTCGGCAGACGACTTTGCGACGCAAGACTACGAAGTCGTCGTCGTGCTGGAGGGCGTCGCCGAGTCGACGGGCGGGACGACGCAGGCACGCACGTCGTACGTCAACGACGAGGTCGTCTGGGCGCGGCAGTTCCGTCGGCTGGCGACGTACCAACGCGACCTGAACGTCTACCGCCTTGACTTCGCTTTCTTCGATGACGTCACGCCCGTCGACGTCGAACGCGTCAGCGCCAGAGAGCGCGACGAGCGTGCCCGGCAGCACCCGCTAGGTGGCGTTGACGGCGGTCGAGTGTTGCCGACGTATACCACGCGAGAGTCGGTCGGCGACGACGACGACGAGACGGACGACAGCGACATCTCACAGCTGACGGCGGTGGCGACGCGCCCACCGATGCTCGTCTGTCACTTATAGGTGGACGAGAGATTGAGACTATGAACTATATCTATATATATATATATATATATATATATATATAGAGAGAGAGAGAGAGAGAGAGAGAGAGAGAGAGAGAGAGAGAGAAAAGTTATGATATCACAATATCCGCGTGATTATATCTAGAAAATAACAGTACAAACGGAGTTTTAAGCATAGCGCTTCGTTAAGAAAGCGTTATGCTAAAACTCCGTTGTGTCTTTATTTCTATATATATATATAATACTTACATATATATATGTAATATACATATACATACATATATATATGTATATACAAATATTATATAAAATATACGCACTCGAGTGTAATGCTACAGGGAATGCAGTGACACGAAAGGGGCGAGAAATATACTCACGCTTACATATTACACGCGCGCGGCACGCAAGACGCACGCATACATACACTCGGCGCACGGCGCAAGCATCACGACACAACGAAGCGCGCACGCAGACACGTGCCGTACAGCACTCGCGACGCTGCACAAACGCACCACACACAACAAAACACGAACCACCACACACACACACACACACCACACCACACACGCGCGCTGCGCGCTTAGGCGCGCCAGCGGCCACACCAACACACACCATCGCACGCACGCACGCACGCGCGCACGACGCACACGACACGACACACACACACACACACACACACCACACACACACACACACACACACACACACACACACACACACACGCGCGCGCGCGCGCGCACGCACGCACGCACACACAACAAGCTTACTCTCCTTATTGAGGGGTATACGTATCTCACGGTGATATATGTGCCAGGGTTTAACGAGAGGTCAGTCTCTAGGCCCCGAGCCAAGAACCATCAGAGATATTATTATTCAATGCGCACAGCAAGATGACTCCGCAATTTCTATGCGACCGCCATCTCTAATTTTGTACACGTTTCATCTCGCTCTACCAATCCGCGCTCGTATGTAATTTCGAATTCTACCAACGCACAGCGATTCGACTATGACAATGCACAATTGTTTCTTTAAAAGTGTTATTAGTATGTATTAGTTAGCATATATAAGTATGCTTAGAGTTTGGAGCGAGTGTTGTTATATAGGTGTGTCCGATTTGCGTAATTCGTGGGCGGTATGTATTTCGTGTCTCGTCGAATGAAACGTCTTCGAAATTAAACATTCCAAACGCTTGTGGCTTGTGGAATCACTCCGATAGAAAAGCACCCGTTATTTATTTTAATTTTTAATTTTAATCGAGTTCCCCGACATCACGAAACAAAACCCGTTTGAAGGCGCAGCAGCAATGTAAGGCCGATGTGCATAATAGAGTTCTCAAACGATAACAAATTCACGCGGCGCCATTAACGAGAACGAAAGAGAAGCATTCGCATTATTTAATCAGACACATTAAAAACACGCAAATAGCCCGCGCTCCCGAATAGAACACACATCGCATCAGATCTGGCAAACAATCCTATTGTTCTGGAAGTATATCTAAGGACGCTATAGCCTCGCGCCAGACGTGCTTGAAATAATTCTAAGCCGTGGGCCAAATATCCTGCATGACCGTGACCGTGACGACGATCTCATAGTCTCAGTTCTAAGCCTTCATCACGACTCGCCGAGCTGGGAATCCTAGCTTTTTCTAATCTTTTGTGCTAAACCTTTTTAGATAAATCCAAACATTACGATTGTTCCCAGTCGATTTCTAATTACGATGATGGTGTTTTAGCCTGTCCTATACGACGACAAATGGACATAAAATAGACTCAAAGTAGATAATATAGTAAGTCGTGACGAGTATTATCTTTCGTAATTCATAGGACTCGGCGTAGAATATATATATATATATATAAAAAATATAAAAAAATAAATATTTATTAACGAGCTTTCGAGATATACATTTCTTCATCAGGCAATTCAGCAGACATGGCAATGTCTCAAAAGCTCACACGTCTGCTGAATTACCTGATGAAGAGATGTACATCTCGAAAGCTCGTTAATTAAATTTTAAACACCCTTAACCTATTATTTGACGTTTATATATTTTGACGTTATCAGTTGTTGATATCTATATATCTATATCTATATATATATATATATATATATATATATATATATAGCAATGTTAATGCCCGATGTGCATAATTAGATTCTCAAACGATAACAAATTCACATCCGAAATGTGAAACAAGCGTCGGCAAGGAATTTTTTGAATCGTAAATAAGTGCTTCCCTCCAGAAAACAAACTCCACAAGATATTCAATAAGAACAATGTTAGATCTCGTTACAGCTGCATGCCAAACGCGTAAAGAAATATAATAGAGGGAAACAACAGAAGAATACTGTAGATCAACACGGAAACGGTAAACAACAGAAAATGCAACTGCCGAAAAACGTAACGTGCCCACTTGGATGAAAACTGCCTTGCTAAAGACATAATAACCGAGCAACAGTGACAAGCGAAAATAAGACAGAAACATACGTCGGACTAACAGCTACCTCTTTCAAGCCAAGACTAGCGAAACCATAAGGCATCCTTCACTACGGAATCAAAACGGAACTCGACAGAACTTAGTAAACATATTTGGAACTTGAAAAGAAACAAACCTAGACTACGCGATTAAATGGAAGATACTGAGCAAAGCGCCCACACTACTCGAAACACTACGAAAAATATGCAACCTATGCTTAACAGAGAAGTTCTACATATTGTGGCAAACCTTGAGACGCGACGACTGACAAGAGAAACGAACTTGTTAGTAAATTGCAGACATAAGAAATAAATTTTTATTAAGAAACGTTATGTAAACTCTTGCAATGAATTCAGTTTAGCGCCAGCGCGCAGCAGTCACCGACAATGACGCGTAATTAGTATCTATGGTATTTCTTTAGAACGGCTCACGCATGAACAATAGATGACATTATGCATGACGTTTTTATACTGCCCGGGATGTTCTAAATAGATCACTCTGTATTAGGCACTGATGAGTGTGGAGCTTTCGCTCCACACGAAACAGTTCTGTATGCAATAAAACAGAGTCAAAATTCTACCGTGTCCGTATAACTTTATCTATATATATATATATTCCACCGCCGCGTTAAATTTAATTAAATTTTAAACACCCTTAACCTATTATTTGACTTTGATTTTATCTAGCATGGGTGTTGTGTGTTGATTTTACTTATATATATATATTAGTCGTTTGCCGGCCCTATATGTCCTATATGGGACCTGCATGTTAATTACTTCTAAACTTTTTTTTATGGAAATTTGTTCTATATAGTTAGGAGAGGCTGATTTAGCTTGGTTGCTACCTGTGCATCGTTGAGCATTTCTTGGAATTCAGATGGCCGCGCCGTTCATCTTCGATTTGTCAATTTACAATTTGGGATCTCGATGCCCTAGAGTGTCACGCAATACTCTTTTTAGGGGTTTCGAGGGCAGGGAGTCCATTTCTGGAGGTTATTTTTGGGATATGGGTCAAGGTCAAAGTCAAATGAAGGTCAACGGTCAAAATAAGACACTAATGTAAATTCACTGTGCATAGATAGTAGATAGGCATATTTCAACGCAGAAAATAGCAAACAGCCTTAAACAGTACACAATAAACAGTAAGTTGTCACAATCCTGCTATGACTCCTCATCCTCATTACTCCTTAATTCGCATCATCATCATTGTCATTGTCGTCATCTACACTTAGCTCCTCTTCATTGTCCTCGTGTCGTCCAGTGATCTTCTTCATTCTGATGATTTTCGTGAATTGACTACAACAGGCGACTCCTCCCTCGCACTTGCAATAGTCTGTGCATGAAAGGCCGCACGGTTGCAGCTGCAACGTTCCCACGCTGCAATGCCTTGCCCTCTGCGCTGCAGCTGCAGCTCACTACATCCAGGAGCGCTTGGGAGCAACTGCGCTGTTGAGATGGTCGGTGTGATGGTGGAGCCTTTGATATTCCAACCAAAGTTGGTAATATGTAGAGCTTCTTCAGGTGGGTCACGTTGGTTCGCTGCCTTCCACAGTAGCATCTGAAGGTGAGTTCGGAGCTCATGCAGCTGCAGGTTGACGTCAGTCGTGGCAGTTTCATCAAGTTTGTGGCGGCTTCTTATGGCTGCAGTAGAGGCGAGTACGTGCATCATTCATTGTCGTACAACTCTCTGTCCGTAGAGAGGGAAGAAGAAGCTGTCTGCTGTCGCTTTGAGTTGAGCATGGTGCCGCGCAAGCTCTCCAAGCACTTGATCCAGACCTGGTATATCAATCTCCAAGAGCTTGAGTGCTGAACTGTTTTTCTTTTCCGAAGGGGTACGACACCGTATCGCAGCCTGACAGCGCATGCATGGACACCGAGAAGCTGGCTGCACTTTCTGGGGCCTACCGCTCAACAGTTTTGTTGATATCCAGGACATCACCATTCCACTTTCCATTTGAATCTTAGCAATGACCCGCATCCTTGATGTCCAGTACACCACGAGAGGACGAAGACGTTCTGTGTCATCACTGAGGATGCAGATTGTCTGTGCATCTCTGCTGCCGCCTTCAGCAATGTAGCTGCGGAGAGTGATGTCTGCCTCAGCATGGGTGACGACCGTCCAGCTTGTTAACAAGCTGGATGTTGTGTGGAAGGGAGTAGCCGCATAGGATGTTGTTGAGCAGACTCTTGTTCGTGGCATTGTGAAGAATAGCTTGTCGGCATGGAAGGGGTGTGTTTGGAGTCAGCCGCACTTTCCTTGGCTCTTCCTCTTTTCATCTGCTCATGCTCCTTTGCGCTAGGGGCTCTTGGTCATACCTGTCGAACAGGACTATTTCTTTGAGCCAGGGGGAAGTGGGCCAGTCGAGCACCAAAGCTTGCAGCCAGATCTCCTGCGGTCCCAGCGACTGGCCACACAACGTGGTACAGCAGCTGACGCGGCGTCAACAACACCACGTCTGGAGCAGGTGGAGTCTTGACAGAAACACGAGACACTTGACGAGCACGGCCTTGTTGCCCTTCCTCAAACATACCATACTCATCAATC